AAATTGAATGCGATCAAATATTTCAATCAGTAAACATGTAGATATATGGAATAGTTAACCGTTTAGTTTTAAAATAAATGGGTTTCATAAAAATACAGACATGTTAAACATGTCTGTATTTTTACACACACGTTGTTCGTGTACACACATTTTTTATCTTTCTTTTTAAACTTTGGCGTAATATGTGCAGGACGAAGTAAGCCCTTTTAAGATTATTTGAGTGTCACGTTTAGTTTTTATATACAATTTACTAATTTTTATATTCATTACTCACGAATTTAAAAGCCAAGGAAACCGAAGTGCAATCCCCAAAACGATACTCTTGTTGAAGTTATATTTACGTAAACGCTTGTGAAATGTGAACAACAGTTGTTAACGTCTATATGTATATATAAACATAAAAGAAATATTGAATCCGCAAGATAATCGTTTATTGTATTCTGGGATTTGGGAAAATATACAATTTGTTATTTATTAAAGATTACAATTTTGTTTATTTACGAATTATAGCGTGTACATTATACCCTGATGAATGGAGGAAAAAAGTCTATTAACGTTATTCACATCAAATTTAATTTTATCTTAATCGAATCTCGATTCAAGGTTGCATCGTTTTCGATCAAGTGACGTTGAAAGAAGTTCAAAGAATTGAAGTAAATTGAAAAAGAAAAAAAAAAGGAAACGTTACAATAGGTACGTACGTAGACGTAATGCCATTGTGTTGTGCACCTCTGGATTTAGTTAATCCGCGCCGTAAAAAGATGCAGACATCGCTGTTTGCTTTCCGAGATTCGCACGGATCGGGGACCCGCGCACAATAAAACATTCGCGATGGAACGGGCTCTCGCAAGGATTGGCCCGTTGATTTGAGCCCCGGCAGAATGCCCGCGACGTTCCCACGCCCCTTTATGAGCCTTACACCGCATCCTGGGCTTAATTGTCGAGGCTCCAACGTTGGACCCGCCGCGGCGACTCCACGCTGGCCCAGCACACTTCCGTCATCCGGGACTGGAATGTATAACCCGACCTTTTTGAATATCTATTGACAGCTCTAGACATCATAAAACTGTGGTTCATTTTTAACGAGTTCGGTTCATATCGCTGTTAGTCAATCCAATGTCAGTATGTTCAACAGGTTTCGATGTTCTCCGTCATCAATAGTCATACTTACACATAATCATTTATTTCCGATGCCCCAACTTTTATTTTTATCGTTCTAAGCTTTCTCCCGCTTCATAAATTGAACGGCAAATCTAATAAGCTACCCTCGTAATTTAAGCGAAGCCGTCAGATTATTGAGTGACGACTAAATCGTTTCATTTGTAAGCTAGTAAAACAGTTTTTGCGAATTCTTAAATTAAACAAAGCGAATTTTTATCGCGACTTATTTTGTTGTTAAATTGCTTCAATTGAAAAAAAAAAAAAGAATAAAAAGCACTTTATTGAAATGTGGCTACGGATCTGCAACCCTTCAGCCTTGCATTGGGCGGCGGTTATCACTTAACATCAGGTGAACCGCCTGCTCGATTGCTTCCCAATCACATAAAAAATTGCATTATGATTTATGATAACTTTTGAAATCTTATAATTTTAATTTATGATTTGATTTTGATGAATACATTAAGTTTATGCTTTCATAAATTATGAGATTGTAATATTTTTAATAATAATTAATAACTTGTTTTTTGTCAATAGCGGCAAACGTAGGATTTAAAATAGTTTTTGAATTATTGAATTTGTTGAAGACTTATGGGAGACATGGCGGGGAGACATGACAAACATCCCCATTGAGGAAAAATCCACACCAAATTCACACCAAACCCCATTGAGAAATAAGAGTGAACGCGTACAGACAAAGATACACCTTACTGATTTTTAATAAATTATTATTCATTAATTACAGTAGATGTTCGGAACATTTACTGCAGAACATCTACTGAAGGCTGAATTAGAACAAAATTGTCTAGTGTTCTTATTTATTCCAAATACATATTATACCCAACAAAGGAAATGTACGGAATAGCAAAAAGGGCTCGTACACCCTACGGCTATGAACCTCACTGGAGCGTTGTAATGCATAATGCAAGAGATGTGACCTAGATGCGATTTTAGCATTGTTTTCTTTTCGCGAAAGAGATTTTAATGTTTTATTTACTTTGTCAGTAAATCCTTTGCAGCTGTCGATACATCACATTCCAACAAACACTCCGCAGTTTCATTATAGCATAAAACTGTACTCCGTTTAACGAAACATATGTTTCGTTAAACGTATAACCAATGTGTAATTCAAGATGGATCGATCCGTTCCGATCCGTGGAGCAGTGGATTGCTATCTGCGAAATAATTTACATTGCAGGAACAAGAAATTCCGTATTAATAGTTAGCACAGAACCGATGAGGTGTCTGTATTTGATCAGACTAGCTGAAACTCTAACTGAACCATATTTCCTACGATAGAGAGGATGACCGCCGCCGATGATATGTCTAAAAAATCCGACTGCTTTAAAAATAGTATTTCTCTATTTTTTTTCTCCGACATAATGTTATTCCTTTCTCCTACAACTAAAACGAACCTAATGACACTACAACTTATGTTTTAATCTGGCAAAAGGTTTAGGCTATAGAACGCGTCAAAGAATTAGAAAAACATACATGCATATATTCATAATTTTGTGGATACGTACGCTCAGAAAAAGTTACCCTCCTTTGGCAATCTCGTAAAAAGTTTATAAATGAAAGTTTACGTTGTGTTTTGACATTAAAAATATGTCACATCATCTCGTGGCCCCAGCTCCCGTTTACTTATATTTTAACTGATGTACACTTTTCTTCATAAAAATTAGTCAGTTTTTATGCGGTATGCTTATTTTCGATCTTACTACGACGCAAATTCAATTTTCTATTTATAGCCGACGATTCAATTTTCACAAGGGACAAAAAATCTGGAGATCCAAAAATAGTTGTCTCGAGTCGGGGGTGTACTTTGTGTCTTTGATTTTGTATTAGTGAACTGCGACTAGGGACTAGTCATCTTTAGTGCGCGAGACGTTTTTTTCAATACCAGCCGAAATCAAAGCGAAATTTGCGCTTCCATCTCTTTTTGCTCTTTCATTATTATTGACAGCCCTTTTGAAGATCAAACTGAATCTATCTATAGTATTTATACTCTGTCTCTGTTCTAACAACTCTGATGTGATTTGTAGTTTTTTTTATAAACGATCACTAACCATTGTGCTAAGTTTTCTACCTTCCTTTTCAACTTCAAAGTAGCACTCCCATCGGAACCGAAAATATCAAAGGTCTTATAGATCTTTGTTCTGGCGTTCGGTAAATGTAAGCACATGTACCATTACGAAATGCCAGGTGCTGGAACATACGGCGCGGCACGTGCGTTCGGAAACGACATCTGCGGGCGAAAAAAAACGGGAAATAATACTAGTATTATTATTATCTTTACTGCGCACTTCAAAGCAGCTGCCGTTTTATTTAGTAATGCTATCATCTGCTGTTAACGCAAGCGAACGTTTGCCGCTGGAATCTCTACCATTTGTCTACGAAGGACTCAATTTCTTCGGGATTGGATCTATTTTGGCCTGAAGCATATTTCGAAGAATGTAAGCTCGATTCTATCAAATCGTTTTCGATCCGGAGGCCTTTTACGCCTAATATCTATACAAAGGATAGACATTAGTATCCGGTTGACAATATTTCAGAACACGTGCCTGGTTTTTCTCAAATTACTATCCAAATCTTGAACGTAATGCCTAAAATGTGCTAAATACCCTTTTCAACGGATCTCGCTATTCTATAAATAATCTTACTGAGAAATTATCTGTACCAAGTATTTAAATTGCTACACATTTTCTCTTTATAATACTATGGATATGCTTCTTTATAATAACCATAAACTATGTTAATTAACTTAATTGTGGTTAGAAACAGAAATCAGACATTATTTACACCGTTAGATGTTTAGACTGCTTTAGAATTTTGATTGAACAAATGTTAAATTAAGTCTTGAATGAATGAATGAAAGACTGTTCTTTAAATTAATAAATCTAAAACTGAGCTGATAACAAATCGATCTGATATGATCCATTTTTTATAAAGCTCTAGATTTTTGACTAAGAAAGTCCGCTATGAAGTATTTATAATAATTTATGTGTATTAAGACTTTTTATTGTACTATGCTTTTAATTTACAATATAGCTTAACGATCTGATGTATGGGTCATAGAACTCATTATTTCAGATCTCACGCGAAACAAAGCCAGTTTATTTCACCTTTCAACTTTTCATGCGGATTTAGAGTTTCCAGTTTTTAAGTTGCTTTTAGTTTGAAGTACAATTAATCATTGTTACGAAAGCGCTTTTGAAGGCCACCGGTTCAACTTTGTTCAAGCATTTTTTGCTTTTAGGGATGTCTGAGTGAGAAGTCAATTGTTAATCCGCGCTTAAAATTTAAATTTTACTTTTGTCAGCGCGAGTTTGGTTTTGTTAAAGATTTTTTTTTTATGTGAGAAAGTGTGGCAAACGAGCTGCCGATTCACCTGGTGTTAAGTGATAACCGCTGCCCACGGCCATTTGCAATACCGCTTGCAGATGCGTTGCCACCCTTTTACAATTTGAGCCCCGGCAACTTCACACGACGAAACGCATAAGTGTAACACTTCTACTTTACGCCCGTCCTCTGTGGATGGTCGTAGTACTAACCCGGACGGACTTGCCCATTCGTGCAACAGCGGACACTGTTAATAAAAGAAAAAACTCCATAAACCATCCCTATATCGGGCGCTTATTTCTGTTGGCTAGATATTCTAGGACCAAAGAGTCGCTGGTCGTGGCTGGGTGTATTTTTCGACAATTTGCCTTCTAAGCTCACGCCTTTTTCGTTTTTTTTATATGAGCAAATTAACCAAGGAAATAATTCTCAGGGCTTTGTTACTATATAAGCATTTGATCTTAACTTTGGAGCTAATGGACTCATCGATTGTTTTGCAGGACTGCCACGGATCTGAGTACGAGGACCGAGCGGTTGCTGACGAGGTGCAGAACTACGAGCTGATATCGGGCTACCAGAATGACACGCACACCACCGTCGAGTTCCGACGTCAGCTGGACACCTGCGACCGCCAGGACTTCGTCATCGGCGTAAGTGTTGGCCAACTCTGCATGACATTCGCCATAGTGTAAAATTTTTTTTGGAAAAAAAGGAAGTAAAGCAACCGTCTATGTATGTCCAGCTTCTGGGTAAAGGCCTATACAGAGGGTATTATGGTGTAGTCTACCACGCATCCCCACTACGCATTGGCAGACTTCACATATCTTCGAAATATTTTTTTTTACAATTATTTAAAAACTATACACGTTTCCTCACGATGTTTTCCTTAATCGCAGAGCACGTTATAAGTTAATATTTAAAATTGGAATGACGGAAAACGCCGTGGGTGACCAGGCCACGGCTACTAAGCCCCTCCGCCACTTCAAGGCGGGAACCCGGTCGGAGGGGTGATTCTTACCTACCTGGCTTGGTCGTAAGTGGGAAGTACATTTGCTAAAAGTATTGTTAACGCTTTTTTGAATAAGCAACTGGTTCGGCTTGACCTCAGTTGTCAGTGAATAGTTGCCGCTGATGCTGTCAAATTGTGCCCTTTACTATCCGCGTCATAAACTATGAGACCAACCACTTCGTTCGGTTCGATATTTCTGAAATCCTCTTCATTTTATGCGTTTCTATTATACCAGGATTTGTGTTTTTATAACTACTAAAAGTTGTAATCGATTTTACTTATCAAAAAAGAGCTTTAACAACAAAGAGGTATTTTTATCAACTAGCTGCAATATTATGTCACAGCTAAAAGACAATTATTCGTGTTCTGTGCTACGCAATAAGTGCCTATTTATATGCTTGAATTCATTGTGCAACGGCACAAAACTACATAATCAGAAAGTTACTAGGCATAATCAGATTGCAATTAAATTCAAACGATACATTTAAAATGATGTAGACACGTGAAACTATATTTGATTAAAAACTGAGACTATTTGTTACAGGAAGACACCACGCAAATCCTATGGGCTCTTGGGCCCAACGGTTCTGATGGGCAACTGCCGAGTCATGTCCAAAAAGGCTCCAGGCCGTTACGTCTTCTGCAACCACTGTCAAAACCCGACGACGCCTCTCTGATGCAATGGGATATTAGGCTAAACGACGTAAGTACTACAGCTCACATTTGCGTGAACACTCGGCCATTTACTAATTCATCCTTTGAGGGCTTACTGAGCAGTACATTTAGCCAACTGAAATTAAATTTTCTCCGCTAAAAGGCTAGAGGCGATTTGCTCGTGCCTCGTAGCGTTATGGATTTTAGGGATAGACGGTCTTTTGCAAGGATTTTCCATGGACGGGCTTCAATTGCACGTCCATTAGAAGCAGAGCTTCATTTAAGTTTTACCCGTTGTCTATTTATGGCTTAATGCCGAATTTAATCAATAGTCCTTTAAAACGTAAAGCCTCGTCCAAAGTATGGCATATTGTCATATGTACTTTAAGAAATTCGATTGATTAAATAATTATGTATATTAAAAATATTACCAGAGCCCAATCAGTGAATTCAGTTTATTGCAAAAATCATCATTTATTTAAGACTAGCCGATCAAGCAAACGTTGTTTTGCCTGATAAATAATTTGTAGGGAATTTGTTAAAACATAGAAAACAAAATTTCGGAGCGCACGCATAAAATGTTTAACAGGTAGGAGCAGTTTGTATGGGAAAATAAAATTGTCGCTATTTAGATTTTCCATGCAATTTTTCCGTAATATGTCATCGTTTAAACCTTTCCTGGACTACCACAAATATTTCAAAGCCAAAATTAGCCAAATCGGTCCAGCCGTTCTCAAGTTTTAGGGAGACTAACGAACAGCAATTCATTTTTATATAAATAGATTTTAAATTCCTCATCTCTAACTTCTTATCCGATTGTGGAAGTGACAAATACCTACAGGTATTTCTAAGACTAGACTTAATAAAAACTAAATTATGCTATTCGTGTTGAATTCAAATCGGCCTTCGGTGTTCATGTAGTAAATTAATGAGGTATATCACCCTGCCCCTATCCCACTTAGGTGGGGTCGGCACATCATGTGAATCAGGTTTTTTAGTAGTATTCGCTACGTTTTTTAACGACTGGCCTGTAACCCTAGTTTGGAACAACGCACGGATCTCGAACAACACACAAATACTTGTTTCGTGTGGGAATCAAACCCCCTACTGCCGGCACCCGAGCTCAGCAGCTGCGCCCCTTGGTCACCATAAAACAAAAATAACTACAATGAAATCCTTACTAATATTATAAAGATGAAAGTTTGTATGTATGGATATTTGATACTCTTTCATAATACTACTGAATGGATTTTAATGAAACTTTACAATAATATAGCGTATACATCAGAATAAGACATAGGCTATAATTTATATACATATTTTTATGTATGACAGATATACTGTTTGAATTTCTGTTTGAATGTTACGCCTTCAGCCTATTCTACACCGACGTAGTCGCGGGCAGCAGCTAGTATATAATCTAAATTTAACTTTGGATACGATACGGCCCACGCGCGTAAACTATCCACAATGTCCGAATAAACCTTTAAATAAACATGACTGTATATGACGGTGCCGATATTTAGTATTATCTAGAGTGTGAATTAGTTTATTAAAGGCTGTATAAGATGAGATAGGCGTTGTGGTGTGTGGAAGTTTATGTATTGTGTGCAGTTTTACTTTAAAACAACATGGCGCATGAAAGGAATAGATGATCTTCAGCTAACTCTTTATTTACAAATGAAACATCGGTCAACACCCCTTTTTTTGGTATCGGGGGGGAAATCTTCAAAAGATACCCTGTAAACTTACATGACAGGGTTATGTGAGGTTTTTACCCACTAAAACCCCCTCGGTGGCCACTCTGTACGTTTGGAGGGACTCCGGGATCTCCCACAGAACGCTCTGGTGTCCCTCAGTACTGCGCGTGAGCACTCCCCGGAGGAGGATAGCTTCCCCGGTTCCCTCACCATCTTGCAGCAGCCCGAGACCACTTCGAGCTGCTGCCAATCCGTGTCCCCTTTTACGACAGGCAGGGAATACCTTAGCCCTATTCTATAAGCCCGCGACTACAGGGCTGCGGTCAACACCCCTATTGGAACAATGTTTGGACACTCGAACCTATTCAGCCCAAACATTAAAATTGTATGCTAAAGTCATTCAAAACGATTAATTATAAGTTTAAGAAATTACTTAGCTAATATTTTTTACATAAGTTAAAGAAAATGGAAATCGCCATAAAATGCATGAAAGTAGTCGTCTTAGTTATTTTAAATAAATTTAATAGCATAGTACTTGTGATAAATTTTAATCCGTCAAATGTTTCCTAAACACAAAAATAATTACATCAAATTGACTGAATGTTGAAATAGACACAATGCTAACCAATGATGTTTTAATATACCTCTATTTTGTAAAATTATAACTAATAAAAAATAAAAATTATAGCTAACCATGTATTTTTAACGACCGCTGTTTAATTTAATTTTGTTACTGCCGACATAAGTTGCAGTGTAGTACGTACTTGTAGCTTATTTTTTTTATTATTATTCGCCTCAACAAATTAATTATGCAAATGCATTACAGTATCCGCTTAGAACATCACGTAGTGTTGGTACCGTCTGCATATAGAGGGATTCTTAATCAATAAATGTACTGATTGAATTTGTTGTCAACTCATTTATAATTCATCGTATAGTCAATTCCGTTGATTATTCAAGTTATTAAGTTGTCGAGCATTAAACCTACATTAATAAACTATTTCAATTCATATAAAATTTAACAATTTTGCATATCATGCACATATCATAAACAAGTTTCTTCTAGACAAATATTTTCTTAAATTATACAAGATAAAAAAAGTCACCGTCGTGACATTCTGCAATAATTTCTATTACTACTATTAGCGTAAATATTCAGCCAGGCGGTTTGAAAAATGTAACATTTACATAATACATAAGAAATATTGGTGGCATAGTGCACTTGCCGATTTGAAATTTTCGAACAGCTAGCAGTTTTAGATTATTGAATTTCCATTAAATTCGCCCTTTGTAATCCTTGTTTGAGGTTATTGCAATGACGAATAAATAAATAAATTTCCTACGCACCGAATTCCGATAAAGCATCCTTATTATTTGGTTTTATTATTTTTTTGTTCTTATTCCTTATAATTAATACCATAAAGCAACATTTTGAGACTCAATTGTGAGCAGCGTGTTACACGGGCTATCTTATTGTGGACTGTGGTAGCCTGTGGTAAGTGTGTGGTAAGGGTACTGCAGGGGCTACTGCGTGGCCTACCACGCAATAGGCCGTGCTGTAGCACAAATGTACAAACTCGTCCGGGGAACTACCTCACCGGCAAGAAGCGGAAGTAATATACTTTGTGAGTGTTCTAACCGGGGTCCACCTTTAAAGAGCAATACTTCTGGAACTTACCTGGTGTTGTAGACTTCCACGGGAGGGGGTATTATTTGACATCGAAACCGCCTGTTCGCCCGCCAACTGTGCAACATTGTTCGTTTTTCCGGGTTAGTTACAGAAGACCAGCGTAAAGTAGACGCGTTACACTTCTGCGTTTCGTCTGGTGAGTGAGGTAGCCGGGGCCCACTTTATTTAAGGGTGGCGACGCATTTTCAACCGTACGTGTGTTGCAAATGGCGGCTGTTATCACCTAACATCAGGTGAACCGCCAGTTTGCGGGGCGGTCGGTTGCCGCTTTGCCGTTTACACATAAATGAGAACCCGCAAGCCAGCTAGATACGTAAAAAATCTGAGAGCGCCCTCACCGTTCCAGTTGAACATCCCGAACGTAATGGCGACGCTGTTCTGGTGCAAGATCTTCAAGGCGCCCGAGCTGCAGCGGAAGCACCACATGGTCGGCTACGAGCCAATCATTGAGAGCCGGCCCATCAAGAACGGCAGGCCCGTAGCGGAGGCCAAGGGCCAGTCGCCCGTCCATCACATGGTGCTGTACGAGTGCGCTGAAGACCGGGACGCGTACGCCTGGAACGAGTGGGCCAAGGGGGACGGCTTCTACGGGCCCAACAGGCCCTCCGAGTGGGCCATTTGCGCGAACCCGGTCGCGGCCTGGGCCATGGGGTCCAAAGGTAAAAAAATAATTCAAAAACTGCTCGTATGCTGGATAGGATGCAAAAAGTATTGTTTCAAATGCTAAAAACAGTGTGGATAAAATACGTTAAGGTCTTCGTCGGTGTGGCAATCAGCCGTTTGGCTTAGCGGGTAAAGCGTCAGGCCGCGAGTGCCGAAGACGTGGGTTCGATTCCCCACAGCGGCGACAATATTTTCGTACTTTGTCTACAAATTTTTGTTAAAAAACTGCTGATGAAAAATTGATTTACAGCCGATACAAGTCCCGCTGCTGGGCAAAGGCCTCCTCTGTACAGAGGGTATTAGGGCATTGTCTGCACTGCGGATTGGCGGACTTCATGTGTTTTTGAAATATTTTTTTGTTATCATTTCGAAAATATGCAGGTTTCCCCACTAATATGTTTTCCTTCACCACTAAGCACGTAATAAACAAAACAGCTGATGAATTATGGTGCATCTAAAACTATCATAATAATCAGTAATCATACGTCATTTATCGCACAAAATTTAATTTCCAATCATAAAAATTAAGTGGAACCGTTTTAATAAAGTCACTACTGTTTTTGATGCGCTGTGGCCAATTTGCAGTTTAAATAGGAATGGATTGGCAAAGAAGGTAGTATAGCATTCACAAAACGGTGGTGCAAAAGTAGAAGTATCTATAGTTTTGGATTTCGTGTGAACTGTGGAGCAACCTGGCCCGCGCAGTTAGTCGTGGATCACTGTAATCAATTAACATCACGGGTACCGCCCTGTTGTTTGGCAACTATGTCCATAAAAGCAATCAATGGAAACATGTTTACTTTTCATATTCAAAACATTCAACACATGCGTTAATTACTAACGTAAACGATATTAATTGCTAAATAAATATACCGATAAAATTAACTCCTACGCTACAGTAATGAATTGCGTTCACGGTTCACCGAAATTCGCAAACGTATTAGCAAATTGAATAATTCTCAGATGAACTCTACTGCGCTGTACAATGAACTCTCTGTCATTATGTTAAAGAACAATTTTGCGTGTGCGTGTTGCATTTGAATTTGTATTCTCAGGTGAATTCCTTCCCGAGAACGTAGGCATCCCAATAGGCAAGCGGGGCGGTGCGTCTTTCTACATGCTGGAGGTTCATTACGATAATCAAGAGCTGCATGAAGGTACGTGTGGAGTTGTTTACCGTAAGCTGTATATTAAATCAAACTGAAACTTATAAGAGCATGATTATTGGATCGCATATATCTGGCAAAGATAAGCCCGATTCTAGAAACTATGAAGTGATAATTCCATAGCGGTGCTTGAGATCAGAGTAGATCAAAGTTACCTGTGAATATAGGTACTTGATTGTTTCCATAAAATTAAATCCAAGGATGAAAAGATGAGGCTCTTTTCGCTCAGACCGGATTAAAATAAACATTTGGTCTGAGGTCAAGAAATTGACGCTGCCCTGAATAGATATTAAGACGTGAATAACTCTATATAATTCCTTGACCAGAAACGCTGCAGTGTTCAAAATTTTAAAAACAAACTGAAACACTGTAAAATAGAAAAGTTTTATGTAACCACGCGTAATCGTTATGTCTTAGTAACATTTTGTAATAGTGTTTAAAGAAAATGATACTGTTTCCCTAATTTTTGCGCAAAGAAGGAAGAAAGAGATTTATTTAAAACAAAATAAACTGACGTACACACTACTCATTTTGGTCAATAAAAACATACAGGTAATATAAACCTTGTATATCTATATTTCCTTTTGCCTATTGTCGTCGTAGTTCTCTTACGTAATACTGCGACTCTGATTTTCATTGATGAGCACTTTTATTGGCATAATTATATTTGCTTTATCTATTTAGAGCTTATAACTGATGTAAGTATAGTATCGAAAATTTACTATAAATGTTCGTCGTCGATGGCCGCGCTAGCAATGTTTGTTTAGACAATAGAGCCTTTATTTATTTATCGTATAGCTAAATGTTTGTTCCGTTGTTTAAAATGATACAAGGTGATCTTTAAATTTACAGTAATATTGCTCAATGGTTCATCCATTTTTATGGAAGATTTGGCAAAAGGGTAAACGCCTAAGGAAATAAAAAAAAAATCTTTACTATCGCTACATGAATCGGCTCTCTTCTTGAATGTTCTCTCTTCCTGTCCCTTATCGCTCCATATAGTCCCATATCGATCTGGAAAATTACATATCGCAGAGACAAATATCGCTACCAAAGAATCTTATCCCTTCCTATTGCTGAGTGTCGCTTCCACAGTCTTCTATCGGCAGCCGTCATCGCTATGATGTAATATCTGGTGCAGATGAAGGAAGTTCTAAGTTGATCCGCTTTATCTCTTTCGCCTTCTTCTTTCCCTTACATGGAATATGGTATTAATTCCATTAATATAAAATTTCATCTTATGTGGAATATGTAACAGCTTTGTTAGTTTCTTTTTGTTATTATTGTATAACAGCCATGTAATAATGCACTATGAGTAAGTACCTTACGTCGGTCTTCCGTGAGGCCAATAGGATTATAAACCTTTTGAAAAAAGCGTCTACTGTATTTGATGCGCTGTAATGTCGTATTGTACTTCTCCGGGCGAATCCGCCCGTTCACTATAAAACAAAGCATACGCTGCCCTACCATAGTTGAAAGAATTCACACATATTACATAACTAGCGACTCGCCCCGGCTTCGCACGGGTGCAATGTATACGTATAAACCTTCCTCTTGAAACACTCTATCGAGTAAAAAAAACCGCATCAAGATCCGTTGCGCAGTTTCAAAGATCTCAGCATACATAGGGACAGACAGCGGACGACTATTTATACTGTAGTGGTAGTGAAGCCCCCTTTCGGAATGCAACTCACTATTCCTCTGCTCGCAGTTTTAGATAGTTCGGGTATTAGAATACACTACACGCCGCAGCTGAGGGCGCATGACGCGGCACTACTGGGCGCCGGTATCGGTGTGTCTGCACTACATGTGATACCACCGAAGCAGAGGCACTACCGCACCGTCGGCATATGCGGCGCCGAGTGCACAAACACGGTAACCTAACGTTGATATAGCAAACACCGTTTTTTTTTTTTTTTTTTTTTTTTTTTCATGTGAATGTTGTCAAACGAGCTGACGGTTCACCTGATGTTAAGTGAATACCGTCGCCCATGGACATCTGCTACACCAGAGTGTTACAAATGCGTTGACAACCATTTGAAAATTGGGCTCCGGCTACCTCACTCACCAGACGAAACGCGAAAGTATTAGTCATACTTTCGCTTTGCGCTGGTCTTCTTTGAGGTCGTGGTACTTACCCGGACGAGCCTGCCCATTCGTGCAACAGCCGAGGCTGCTGCTTGGCCCTACCACCGTAACCTAACGTTAATTTGGGAGACACACCGTATCCTGAATGCCTCGATGGCATAGTTGCTATTGGCTTCGGCGCCGGCGGTCGCGGATTCGATTCCCACACAGGAATTTTTGTGTGACTCACAGATAATTGATTCATGTGTCGTGCCGACTCCACCTGGGTGGTTTTTACAGAATTACGGGCAAAATAATGTAAAAAAATTTGTTTACAAAATTTTATGAAAGTTTTTTGGGCAGTTACATTTATTCATAAAAAAGACAGCATTCAATTTTTTTGCAATTTAAACTAGGAAAAATTTGTAAAGGAAATAATTAAATCAATGAGATATTAAAATTCATTAATATGAGATATTAATATGTTTCAGTATGTTTATCAGTTATCTAGTACCCATAGTACAAGCGTTGCTTAGTTTGGGACCGAAGAACATTGTGTAAAAATGTGTCCTAAAAATATTTATTTATGTATTTTCTTTTACAGATGATTCCGGATGAAGGAATAACCATTGTTTCTGTTTTATTACACGCTCATAGTACTGCTAAGAAGATTTCACTAAAACATGTGAGAGGGAACGATGAATTACCCCGAGTGTCCGAGGTAAAAATAAATACCTCGAACTTAAATAACTATGTTTGAATTTAAAAATTGCTATATTATGATTTTCGAACACATATTATAAACCATCTTTAAATAGTTGTGTTTTATAGTAATGATTCATTATTGTATGTAGATGGCGCTAAATCAATATTATTGACAACGCCATCTTGACAAGATAACGTTAAAGTTCTCGCTTTTTGCTACGTTTTGAAGTGTTTGTTACGCTGTGTTTAAGATGGCGTTTGAATAAAATACATCGTGGCCAGTATTATATTTTTATTTCAATTAAATTCATTATAATATTAAATACTAGTGTTGTTTTGATGTAGCACGTTACATTTATCTGTTTTCAAAGTTAATTTTGTGTAAATATTTAGCAAACATTTTATTTAATAACGTTTATTTTACAGGAAAATTCATATGACGTTCGCTACCAACAATCCCGCATAGTTCCAGGCGGTAGAAAGTTTCTGAAAGGCGATACTCTGATCACAGAATGCACATACGACAGCACTCAAAGAGACAAACCAATTTTAGGCGGCTACTCAGCGATGCAGGTTCGTTAATTATCCCCACAAAAAGTTTTTTATATGAGAAAGTGGCGATGTGGCGGTTCACCTGATGTTAAGTGATATCCGCCGCCCATCGGCATTTGCAACACCGGTTGCAGGTGTATCACCACCTTTTAATAATGTGGGCCCCGGCTGCCTCACTCGCCGGACGAAACGCAGAAATGTAACACTTCTACTTTACGCCGTTCTTCTGTGTGGTCGTGGTGTTACAGTGGTGCAACAGAGAATACTGTTGCGTGGTCCTATAGTTGCAACACAAAATTGATATCTCATTTCATTGTAACGTTTAATAGTATATTTAAATAAAATAAATTAAGTAAGTATGTTTAAATAAAATAAAATTGATTTTATTGAAATTAGCAATTTTTGGTAATTATAATTAAATTTATTTTCTTTCTTTCAGATTATAATTACATATTTTTTTAATCGAGTCTTGATCTTAAAACTTAACTTTTAAATAACATTTAAATGTTGCAACAATTATCAGCGGGGGTCACCGCCTGCTGTTTTAACTCCTTTTTCATAAAATTCGTTCTTTCAAAACGCCGTATTTCTCAGAATGTATCTGGTTATGTAACATCGTATTTCCATCGTTTCAGGAGATGTGTCTGTCCTTCGTCCTATATTACCCAAGGACGCAGCTGGCCGGTTGCTACTCGATGACGCCGGCTAAGGAGTTCTTTGAGACGTTCGGCGTGAAAGAGTTCTACGGCGTGAATATGATGCAAGTGGAAAACACATTCCTCTCCTCGTCGTGAGTAATTTCGTAATTGTGTTTGTTTCACAATTTTTGATTTTTATAAAAGATCTTTGTGATATAATTATATAACAGATATTTTGGCGTTTCTATCTTTGATTTTAAAGTAATTTTTCTTAATATTTTTGAAGTGAATATTGTTTGGATTGGACAGAATTGAGGGTGAAATTTCAATGATGCGTTATGTTTAGGCTTATTTCGTTACCATTGCGGAATATCTTGACGACGCCAATGTGTGGAGTTAATACTGTTGATACTCACGTAGGCTAAATGAAGACTTATACCTGTACCATTATTTGTAAATTAATCTTTTTAAAAAAGAGCAAATGTCGAGTGTCTTGCCGGTTTCTTCACAACAGAAACTGCTTTCCGAACCGGTGGTAGCTTACTTACGAACGTACTCTTTTTATGTAAAATGTACATAGACGCTTGCGCGTTCTTATGAAACGTCTAAAACGTTTCATAAGAACGCGCAAGCGTCTATGTGAAAAAAGATATTTTGAATTTGAATGTGCGTACAATGTTGCAAACGTTACAATTTTTCTTTCATCAAAAGAGATAACCACACTTTTATAGAAACTATCCAAAAATACACACCCAGTTCTTGATGAAATATTTGTGCATAATATATCACCACATAGTGTAAATCAGAGTCGTCCTGCTGTCTATCTGTCCCTCTATGTATGCTTACACCTTCGGATATTAATCCGTTTTTGAAGTAAAGCTTCTTTAGGCGCGACTCAGATTTTTTCTGACGGAAGTAACGCTTTTTCTGACGGAAGTAACGTCATATTTTTGAAATATGACATTACCAAATATTTAATCATTTTAGTGATATATGCCATCAACGCCAAAGAAGTTTTACTTCAATCGCGCGTAAAGGTTACACGCACACACTTTTTTACTAGATAGAGTGATTCAAGAGAAAGGTTTATATGTATAATATACATTAAACCGTACCATTAACCTGAGAAGCCGTTGCGGATAGCTAGTTCTGAATTATACAGATTAGGCTACCTGACGTCAATTCTTACTTTATTAGAATCGGTTTATTGCAAACAATAAATCTTATAATTTGCATATATTTGATTATTGATTAACGTTTCCAGATATGTGGAGTACCCAATTCTGCCAATAGACAACCAAGGAAAAGAGTCGGAAGAAGTTGGCAGGCAAGGAGATGATCAAGGGGTCGGTTTCATGAGTAAGTTATTGAGATTTCTCGTTTTATCTTTCTAAATTTTAGACCGTATAATACAAATATATCGCATGAATCTAGATTAGGAATCGGAGAGTCCTTATATAATTTGCATGAAATATCTTTTTGAATATAAATTCACATCACAGTCTTGTTTATTCATAATTATATTCAGCATTCATGTAGTTATATAAGATTATTTTAATACGCTAAATATAGTTATATTTAGCATATTTTCCATAATAAAATATTTCTCATCTTACATAAATACATAATGGTTTAACAGGTCTATCATAAATAACTATTTGGATGTATAGTATCAATTGGGATTGACAAAAAAAAAGTTTTATCACTCATTAACTCTCCGCAGAGGAGCTCGTCATAAAAGAGCCGACGGAGTTCCGGAACAAAACGTTTATGGCGCACTTAAACGAAATGCCGTGGTCAGAAACGCTGTTAACCGAACAAATAGAGAAAACACTGTACAGAGGAATGCACATGACTTTCTGCAAGAAGAACGACGACTCATGGGGAGCGGTAAGCTTATTTTAAATTTGTTATTATTATTTATTAGTAGGTACTAGCTATGCCTGCGACTTCGTCCGCATGGAATATAAAATAAATGAAGTTTCTAAAATAAAAGTAGCCTAATTTACTCTTTATTACATCAGCTATATGCCAGTGAAGGTTCCCTAAAAATCGGTTCAGCCGTTTCAGATATTAGCCGGCACAAGCATACAGACAGACATAAATTTTAATTTCGGTATTTGTACCGTGTATATCTATAATTATGCATTTAGTAAATTGTTTTTTTTTTAATATTACAAACAGACACTCCAATCTTATTTAACTGTATAGATAATATATAAGAGACTCGGTGGCGCAGTTGCTGAGTTATTGGCTGCAACGCCCGGGTTGTGGGTACGAGTCCCACACGAAAAAGTTTTTCGTGTGACCCACAGATTGCATTCGTGTGTCCATTCCTAAGGAGGGTTGACGTCAGGCAGGTTGCTGGTCGTAAAAACATAGTGAAAACTCAAAAGTGATTCCGAATGGAATAATAAACATTTGAATGCGGGGTTTTTGTTTAATTCAATAATTAATTCTTCCTTTCTTTTGTATAAGACATTGTCCTAACTGTAGGTGAACATTATGCTGTATTGTAATGACAGCTGTTTGTACAAACAGATAGTGAAACAACTATCTGTGCGTCACACAAATAATGGGAATTGAACCCACGACCCACCAATGACTTTGCTTATTGATTGTATATTAATTATTGTCTCGCTCTCTATTCGACAGCCAGTTCAGATCCAGAACTATCCCAACTTCACCGAGCTGACCAACAACGATACGTCCGAGAAGTCGTGCCATTACAAAAGTGTTAGGCTACCCTCCGTCACCAAAACGAACGCGGCAACGAAACTGTCAGTTAGATGGTCCGCCATTTTGGCCGCGTCACTGCTCGCAATCTCGCGGTAGTAAAAACACTAAAGAGGCAACGATCCCGCTGTTTTCGGTTTATATTTTTTTTTTCGGAGAGCTTATTCGAATTGTAAGCTATTTGGAATTTTCGTTACATTGTTTATTTCGGTTGATGAATAAATATAAATTTTCCTATTAATATTCTCTTATCTGATGTTCTGCTCGCGGTAAATGTGTGTTACCGTCCCGTATTTTTTTTAATGTTTAGTCCATCGGTTTTGTTATGTAACGAAAATTCTGCATTCACCTAACATTATGTTAGTTCTTTATATTTAAATTTAGTATTATTTGGCCAAAATTATAATTTGAGTTGTATTGATAGGATTCGAATGGGGCCTATACGAATGTACTAAAGGCGTTTGGTAGCGTTTTAAATTAGCAATGTTACGATTCTTATACGACGTGCCTTTAACATCAAGCATTTACCATAATTAATGTTGAACTATAGCATGTATTTAAAATAATGAGCGATATTTAATGCGTACATAGAAATTCGATTTAAAACCTTACTAATAAATTTGCAAAGTGACTACCTTCTGTCGCAAATACAGTTCATCAATATTTATTAAAAACGCTACGGTATATTTTATGTCAAATAAAATATTGTATGCAATATAGCCCTCTATTTTAGACATGTCTAAGGTCTATTATCAATGCAAAAGCTGTTGTATAAGTTGTTGTACAATATAGTGTTATTTCTGTTTGAAGACACTAAATTATAAAATATATAAAATTACAATACTAAATATTTAGGGTTGCCAACCATATATATAATAATGTTTCCTACTTTGTTTTTGGGCAAACCTACTTTATACTTTTGCATGAATATAAACTATGTGAAAATACTCTGTTTCTTGACAGTTTTTCACTATCCTTAAATACTCTTTTTAAGGATAATGAAAAACTGTCAGTGTGCCAGAAGCACACAAAAATAAGTCTTCAAGGGAAGAGATAAATAATAAATATATAAAATATTGAAAAATACTTTTTGAATTCTACTTAAAACGCGTGATACGTTATTTTTCTCAAAAACTGTTGGCAACCCTAGTTCTATTAATACTTTGCTCTCTATTTAAGACGTATTTTTACGAGACGACAATGGCGGAGAAGGTTAAATGTTTTATTTTTAAATTTTCAAGAGAATGTTTTGTTTTGTGATTTTGTGTACTTATGAGTTTTTGCTCATGCGTATGGATTTCTTACTGTATGCGCTAGTGAAGATTCTGATCTTTGGGTGTTTGTTATACTATTAATTGTGCATTTTTATGAAATAACTAAGCTTATGTGCGATATGTTTTTTAACTGTATTTTCTTTATTCTTAAGAAGTGATTCCATTCTTAGAAGACATTCTTTATCGAAACATTACCCAATTTCCAATACTCCACACTTTGTGCGTTTAAGTACGTGTTTGTCTTTACTTTTTTATTTATGTTTTAGACAAAGCTTATAGAGTCAAAGATTTGTTTGCTTTCTCGAATATTCGTTTGAATATAATTTTTTTTTCTATTATGTTTAAAAAACCAGATAGATTTGAAATAAATTGTAATCGTAAGTTTAGGGCGTATCTACCGGTCCACTTGATATCGAACTTTTTGGTGTAGTAAATAAAATACTTATACAGCAATAATTTTCATTTAGGGAATAGAACTTCAAACAATAAGGAACTATTAAGATAAGGATTCAATTAGGGCTGTGCTTTGTAAGCTCTTTCGACTGTGTTTATAACTCAAGAAAATCTATGGATATATTTTTGTAGTGTTTATAATGTTTGTATGTAATCTAATTTAAGACCTACAGTTGCAGTTAAAATATACTGATCAATAGTTTTACTCGTAGATCTTATTGTGTGTTATACCGTAGTAATGACAGATGTGTGTATGTTTTATACCCTTTTTGTACTTTAGCAATATTCAGTGTTCTTTCAAGTTGATGTACATAATATGTGTTGTGCCAAAACATTGCCTCTTGACCGTGTCTGTATCAAATTTACTATTTTGTAAAATGTTTTCTATTAATTCAAACTTTATCACAAAATCTACGAAAATAATCCCCTATTAGTGTAAACCTGCACTATCGATTAATATATCGTTTTGTTACTTTACCTCTTGGTGTACGATACAACATATTGTAAAACATATTGGTCACAGAAAAGTCTAATACGTCTGAATATTACTGCATGAAACAAAAAAAAAATATGTTCACAAAACTTAATAGTAAAGTACGCAAAAGTTTATTGGGAGCGAGACAGACAGCATCTTAATACTGCGGGTGGAAATGAGAGGGAAGTATATAATCGACATTATTAAACATGCGAACTTATGATTGATATGCAGACGTATTTAACAGTAATCCAAAATGTTATTGTAATAAGATTGGACTGGATAATGTTTCCAAGGCACTTAAAATTTTACAATGCTCGGCGCGTTTGCGAAATGCGCTTGGCCAGTATTTCGTAAGGTAGTGTTTTCGATGTACGAACGTTCGTGATGACGTTTCAAGTCATACTTTTTATATGTTACTATTGGGTTTTACTATTATTATTATTTTTTTTTAATTTATAAATTCCCCCAAGTTGTTAGATGTAAGGATACGCTTAGTAACTAATTAAGGGTTTTATTTATTTAAAAGTCAATATATTGTGTTTTATTACATTGAGTATGCATTTTTCTTTTTTTAACATTAATAAAGAGTGAATGAGAAAGCAAACTTAATTCTGCGCGTTAGGTCCCTTTCCTCCGTTTGTTTTGCTGACGGAGTGAACAGATTCCTTGACCCTGTTGTCGCTTTGTTTGTACAACGGCGCGTTGGTCGGTGACGGGGCGCTGGTAGGGTTAGCAGAAACGCCGCTCCTGTTGCCCAGGTCGGAGCTTGTAGGGGGATTCCCGCTCGGAGCGGGAGCGTTCACGCTTGCGCTTTCTGCGAACGGATTCGGGCGCAGCGGGTAGGTCTGCGGCTGCTGTCGGTGCGCCTCTATGGCCTGCCAGTTGATGAACCAGAACGGCTGCTTGTCTATCGGCAGCTTGCTGAGCCTGTCCACCAGGTCCCTATCGCCCAGCGCCTCAACGGGCAGCCGCTGCGTCGTGCCCTCGCCGAAGCTGGAAATGACGAGGCCGATTATTCTCTTATGTTCTATTCTCAGTTAAAACATTGCCCTTACTTTAGGATAACATTAACCTGTGTTTCAAATTTAAATATAAATTTCACGAGTACTAACACCCAGATGCGATACAACTATCTGCGGGTCACACGAACAGTTGTCCCGTGTGGGAATCGAGGCCACAAACCGCGGCGCCGAAGCCGTTCGTAATTCTTTTTGGAAGTTGATTGAACGATTTGCCCGCTTGATTAATTAAAGCAAAATGATGTCCTTAACTTGTTCTAGTTCTAAATCTATAATATAGTTAAGGTATAATACAATGACTTATACACATATAAGTCCATTGTACTATACTAAGTACATACTTAAACTACTGCAAAAGAAGGAATGTTCTTTCTTTTTGAAATTAATACCATTGCCCTTACTTTAGGATAACATTATCCTGTGTTGTAAGGACGTTTTACAAATAACTTCACGTGGACAAACACCCAGATGCGAAACAACTATCTGCGGGTCACACAAATAATTGTCCCGTGTGGGAATCGAACCCACGACCCACGACGCTGAAGCCAATACCTTGGCGACTACGCCACGGAGTCTAGGTAGTTCTTCTTGAATAATGTTTTCGTTTCTTTGAACTGTGGTAGGGCCACGCAACAGTTTCGGCTGTTGCAAGAATGAGAAGGTTGACGGACTGCTTCCGAGTAAGTACCACGACCTCACAGAAGAAGTAGAAGTGTTGCACTTCTGCGTTTCGTCTGTTGAGTGAGGTAGCCGGAGCCCGCCTTATTAAATGGTGGCAACGCATCTTCAACCCTGCCGGTGTTGCAAATGTCCATTGGTGGCCGCTACCTAAGGCTAGTATAATCCTAGCCTAGTATAAAAAAATAGCTAAGTTATACATTAAAGTTTCTTGGAACGCATAGGGCATGGAATAGCCAAATTCCGCGCGACACGTATGCTCATGCGTGCGTCGTCTGCTGAGTGAAAGAGGTGATTATGGGCTCCTGTTAAATTAAGGCCCGACAACCCATGCCCGAATCCAACTGTGCGCAAACATGGCACCTTAGCGATTAGAAGAACTGAAATCTCAATAATGCAAGCCATTCAGAGTAGAACAGAATGTTAAAGCTAGTAGATCCTTAGACAAGGAAGTGGTCATTGCTCTTTTGTCTGATAGAATTGTACATCTGCTCAGTTGAAACAGATAGCCATTTTACAACGTGCTTTTAAACTTTTTACCGAATAATAATGAATCTAACAATGTTGGCTTAGACATTTTATATTGAACAAACACAAACAACAAACAAAAGAAGGAGGTTATCAATTCGAATGTTTTTTAAAAAACAACAACAAACTTGTTCACAATGCGAGTCATTCATAAATGCGTCGTATACTTTTGATAAATCATCACGCACTTTCTGAGATAAGTTGAAATGAATGTAATTAATTAATTACGAGTGACTTTAAATATTTCTCATTTTGTACATAACTTTATTTATGTTTAGAATTTAATTTAGAAAAAAAATGGATATACTTAGAAAAGCCACCCTGTATAGTATTTTTTAAGTAGCTATTGGTAGGCTTACTTATTTATTTCTTGGTTACCAGATTTTATGAAGTCGTATTGGTTATAATATTCTCTATTCCTCCACTCCGCACGCTGGCTCCACTTCAATGACAAGTAGCCTAAGACGGGACTATCGGGTCACGGGTTAATAATAATATATAATGAACCCAAATGAAAACTCTTAAAATAGCCATACACAAAATAAAATTACACGGTCCACATTAAAAAAAATCATAAATACCAAAAAAATATTTATTCAGTCATTCATTCATTCATAAAATTCAGCGCTTCTAATCTAGATGCATTAGATAATCAAAGACAGAATCCACATTCATAACGGAAGGAACAAACTTTATTTCCCAAAGGTGGTTTCGCATACTCACGTCCACTAAACCACCACATCTCACCACCCAACAAAAACGGTCCACTCACTAAGACGAATCAAACTCCACGCAGTTGTGTTCCTTAATAACTGAGTTCCTATGGCCACATTCCAGCTCTGTCATCAGACCCTGGTTACCATCTAACACCAAAGAACTCGTCATGACGAATCAAACGAGCCGAGACGCAATAGGTTTGCTTCGTTTCTTTACTGAGTTCATATCCAGCTCCATCATCAGATCAGACCCTGGTCAATCAAACGAGCTGAAACTCGATGGGGTTGAGTCGTTTCATTACAGAGTAGTCATAGGAACCTCACAGAATAGCCTCATAGACCTCACAGAACATCGGCGTATGGTACTTCTGCGATTTTTCTGGTGAGTACCTCACTCACGAGATGCGTTTTCTCCTTATAATAAAGTAGGCTCTGGCTACCTAGCCGGAGCCCACTTTATTATAAGCAGAAAACGCATCTGCAACCCTATACATATGTCCATGGACGGCTGAAGATGGAGCTCCATCATCAGATCGTGGTTGCCAATGAAAGACAAACTACTCGTCAATACGATTCAAATGTACCCAAACGCGATGAGGCTGTGTCGTTTCATTTCGAAGTTCTTTTAGCCTCCATATGGCACCATGTCATAAAAATATTGGATAGTCTTGCGATTTACACATGTATACAAAATTTCAGCTCAACCGGTAACCGGAAAGTAGATCAAATTTAATTTGCAAGATTTGATTTGGTGATTTAACATTAAAATATTGTAAAAATGTTCATAAAATGAAAACTACTTGGCCAAACTTTGGTAAATTTTTATGGGACCAAATGGCAACTATTCTGCATTAAACTAAAGAAGAATCACGTAAATCGGATCATAAATCTTAACGTAATCGGTGTACATACATCGAAAAAAATATACCGATCGAATTTAGAAGCTCCTCCTTTTGAAGTCGATTAACAATATTATATTAATTTAATTAAGGCACTTATATAAAATCTATACGTGTGTGCAAAAATATATAAAACATGTTTAACAATTTTAATTATATTATTGCTATAAATTAATTTAAAAATTAAATTAAATCATAAATTGCAATTTTAATTATTTTATTTATATTTATTGCTGGCGTTTATATTCCACCTCAACAACCTTTGGACGTGTATAAGGCATTTTTGAAACCACTTCAAAATATTTTACTAAACGCTAATATCGACAAATTTTACATTGTGGGGGATTTTAATATTCCGTCAATTGATTGGTTTTTGTTTTCTGCAAAAGAATTAACACCTATCGGTAAATATATGTCTAACTTTTTAAATTTCATCGGCGGATCTCAATTGAATAAATTAGTAAATAAACATGGCAATATACTTGACTTGTGTATCACAAATAATTCCATTCTTAATGATCACGTGTGCACACTTCCTTCAACGGAACTGGTACCCTCAGATACTTTTCACCCACCATTTTGTAAAATGTCGCGTAAGCCTATCGCGAAACATGCATTCGTTGAAGCTAACTACGTAGAAATCAATAACGACATTTGTAAAATTGATTGGACTTCAAAACTTTCTCATTTATCATCCGAGTCAGCAGTCTGTACGTTTTATGAAGCTATTTATTCTATTATAAAACACCGAGTACCACTCCGGCTAACTAAACCATCGTGCTTTCCTCTATGGTTTTCGCGTCCATTAATTCATATTTTCAAAAATAAAAATAAGGCATGGATCAGGTGGAAAAAATATAAGTGTCCTTCTGACTATGAAGATTTTTCATTATATCGCGCCCGATTTAAAGCTGAAAGCAAAATCTGCTTCCGCAGATATATAAACGCAATCGAAGAGGGCAAAGATGTAAAGAAATTTTGGCAGTACGTTAACAGCCGTAAAGATTTAAATGGTATACCTGATACTATCAGTTACGGAAAAGAAATAACTAAGCAACCCGAAACCGCTTGCAATCTCTTTTCTAAATTTTTTCAATCAGTGTTTGAACCTTCTTCCATACGTTCAGATTTTAACACACATAACATAACCCGCCCGGGATGTGAAATTTCTTCTGATATAATTATATCTTCAATTGATTTTAAGGGTGACACGGTGCGCACAGTACCTATTAAAATCATTAGACGTCTCTAAGGGAACTGGACCCGATGGAGTACCACCTATTTTTCTTAAACATACAGCGAACACAATCAGCATCCCTTTAACTATCTTGTACAATAAATGCATTCGTGAAGGTACCTTTCCTGCTGCCTGGAAAATCGCCAATGTTATACCTATACACAAGAGCGGCTCAAGACACGAAGTAGAAAACTATCGCCCAATTTCATTATTATCAACTATGTCGAAGGTTTTTGAGAAACTAGTACACAACTATGTATACTCAGCCCTTCGTAATGTTATTATACCACAGCAGCATGGTTTTGTTCAGAAACGCTCTACCGTCAGCAATCTTTTAGTTTACACAACTTTTCTCTTTGAACATATGGATAAAGGTATCCAAGTGGATTCTGTTTACACTGATTTCAAAAAAGCCTTCGATAAAGTAGACCATACTAAATGGCATACTACTTCAGAAACTTGCATACAACGGAATTCGAGGTGATTTACTTAGGTGGTTTCATTCATACGTATCTAACCGAACGCAAAAAATAGTAGTAAATGGCTATACGTCACACTTTACTACCGTTACGTCTGGAGTACCTCAGGGCTCAATCCTTGGTCCCTTCTTGTTTATTTTATACATTAATGATATCAACACTTGTTTTCATCACAGCAACTTTCTCCTATACGCAGACGACCTAAAAGTTTACTTACCTATACTCAGCGTAGATGACTGTCATAAGTTACAAAATGATCTTAACCGCTTATCTGCCTACTGTGTCAAAAATAAACTTCATTTGAGTTAGTATTATATGCAACACTGGCCTGGTGAACATGTCAAAATTATAGCTCCGTATATTTAAAGTTTAAAATTAAGTTAAATTTATTATTTAATTATCTTTTTACTTTAGTAAAATTATTTACGTGTGTGTTA